GTGGCAGCACCGGAAGGGTTCGGAGTGGACTTGGGAGTTCGAGGAGGAGATGAGGGAGCACTACCCGGAGTTGTTTCCAGATTCAGCAGCAGCAGACTTTGAGGACGAAGACTGATTCAAATGGGCGTGAATTGTAACATCCGTCTCTCGAGGTATTATTTAGATTATGTAACTTAATATTAGCTTTAGGCTAACACTTGGACAATTGACCTTTTGGGGTGGACCTTAGCAAAATGGGCCAAGAAGTTAGGCTGCCCATAAGTCGTACGTTGGGCATAACCTGGCGTACGTGGGGCGTAGTGGCACATTGGATTCGAGGGACTCGGGGGCGTACGCGCAGCGTACCAAGATGTACGCCTAGCGTAAGGCGGGCAGATGCCAAACCCTAATTTTTAGGGTTTAAGACATATAAATACCCCATTATAGCCTCCCCTCTGGCCTCCTCACCAGTCCCTCACCCTCACAAAACCCTAGTTCGCCTCATACTCCATTGTTATGTGTGCTTGACCATTTTGAGTTCATTTTTGTGAAGAAAGGATTGGAAGAAGTGAAGAGAATTTGGAGGAGAAGCACTTGAGTATCTTGAGCTCAAGGATCTGGAATTAGTTCATCTTTTGGCACCTAAAGGAGGTATAAATCTCCTACCTTTCCTCTTAGAAGCTTAGATCTAGGGTTTTGAAGTTTTGGACCTTTTTAGGTCCAAAGAATGGATCTTGTTCATGCAACTTCATTTTTGAGCTTAGGGTTGCCACCCTTGAAGCTCAAAGTGTCCCTTAAGCAGTAAAGTTGCAAGCTTTGAGGCTTTTATGTAGCCATGCATGAGATCTAGCCATTTCCATGGAAGTTTATTGCTATTTTTAGAGTTGGGTTCATTTGGTAGGTTGCAAGCCACCAAGTGATCGACTTTATGGGTTAGGATGAAGTATTGGACTCAGATCTGTAGTTTAGACGTAGTGTCTTAAGGGATTAAGCAGTTTTGGAGAAAATGGCTTAACAGGAGAGTATGTTGGGCGTGCACGCCAGTACGCGCAGCGTACAAGCCATTCAAGCAGTACGCGCAGCGTACAGAAGGGTACGCTCAGCGTACGCTCAGACAATGGGCTTTATGTTATTGGGCCTCGGTTTGGGCCAGGCTTTGGATATAGTAGTAGTTGGGCCGAGATGGGCCTTTAGAAGTCAGTCAAGGGCCCAAGGACTTGTTGGGCTTGTGAGGAAAAGCCCATTTGAGAAGTTGGGCCCAATTTAGAAAATTGGGCCATTAGTGGGCCATGAGTGGACTTATAAGGACTAGTTGGAATTGGGTCTTGGATATGGCCCAAAGTTAGAGCAGGGATATAATGGTCATTTTACCCTTAGTGGGATTCTCAGTTTTTGACTAAGTGTTTATTTGGTGATAATAGCCGGAGAGTAGTTGGAGCAGCAGACAGAGTTACCTTGCACGAGTTTTCAGCAGCCAGATTGAGAGGTGAGTTTCTCTCCAGTAGGAACGGGTCTAAGGCCACAATGTCGGCCCGTTTAGAGGTTAGTAGTTCCAGACTTCAGTCTGATGTCGGGGCGGTCCCGAGAAGAGTATATGTATGCTTGATGTCTTTGTGATTCATGCATGTTATGTGTTATGTGTTCCGGGGCAAGCCCGATGTATGTTAGCTTATCTGTTATATGTTATGTGTTCCGGGGTAAGCCCGATGTCGGGCCAAGCCCGATGTATGTTAGTGTATCTGTTATATGTTATGTGTTCCAGGCTTCGGCTCGATGTCGGGGTAAGCCCGATGCAATTTTTATGTTATGTTATGTTTCTATGATAAATGTTATGTTGTGTATGTGTCGGGGTAAGCCCGATGCCGGGGTGAGCCCGATGCCAGACGTAGTCTGATGCCGGGGTGAGCCCGATGCCGGGCAGGAGTCCGATGTTGGGTAAGCCGATGACGGGTTCGTCCCGATGCAGTTGGGAGTAGTCCCAGAGTTATGCTATTTGTTATATGTTATGTGTATGGTATGTGGTAGTTTGGGGGAGCTCACTAAGCTTCGTGCTTACAGTTTCAGTTTTGGTTTCAGGTACTTCAGCTAGCAAAGGGAAGGGCTCGGGTTGATAGCATGGCACACACCACAGTCTTTTTGGCCTGGGAGATTACTCTGATATTTTTATCACATGTTTTTGTCACAGTATTTGATATGATGTTTTGAGATACATAATACATGGTTTTCTCTATGATTATGGATGGTTTATGGTTTTATAATAATTTTCAAAACGAAATTTTTGGACTGTATTTTTGGGATGTTTCATCCGAGTTTATACAAAGATTAGGAAAAAAATTGAAATATTACTTGAGTTCCATATCCATCGGATAACACATCGGAGTACAGTTACTCCACGAATCGAGCTCGCCGTGACATTTTTGTGTCCGTTTCGATCACAGTTCGACGTCTGCAGCTTCCTTCCGCGTTCGAGTAAGGAGGAAAGGGTAATTTTTGGGCGATTTTACCGTAATGCCCCTGATCCTCGGAACAATGAAGAATCCGCAGAGGTGTTTATGGTTTCGTAGAACCCCCTCTGCGGAACCTTTGGTCATATTCTGAATTCCTCATTTTCGTGGTCATTTTTTTCAAAGAACCCCTCAATTTTGGTCATTTACTGAATTTTCTCAATATACATTTGGCTAATATTTTGATCGTTTGCAGCACACATTATTCAATGTATTAAAAGAATACATTTTATATGGATTGGTTAGAATTCTAAAAACCGTTATAAAAATAAGTGATGTAAAATCTGGTAGCAAACAAGTAATACTAAGGGAGTAGTGTTAGGAAAAAAGGATATTAATAATAGTACCCCATTAAAACCACTAATAACATAAAACATTCCAAGATCATAATTGATTCAACCACAAAATAATCTCAACCACTGCCACAAAAGGGACTTTCAAACGCAGAGATTAGCAACGGAAAAATTCATTATGACGACGGATTACCCAAAAGAAGTAATTACATGTTTTCAAACACACTTGTGACGGGTTGGCTACGGTCGGTCTGTTGATTTGGTACCCTAATATATATATATATATAGATATATATATATATATATATATATATATATATATATATATATATATATATATATATGGAAAAGTTCAATAGAGAACCATAATTATTGGTTCTTCAAGGAACCAAATCTTTTTTTCAATTTCTAGAACTTATTCTTTATCGAAAAAAAAATCTAAAAATATCTAAATTTATATATTAACATTGTGAATGTGAAAAATATTTTTCGGATTCACCGTGTGAATCCGGATTCACATTGTGAATTTTCAAAGATTCACATTGTGAATTTGACGTAAAAAAATCGAATTTGATATCATTGGAAAAAGGATAAAAAGTTATGAATTTCTGTATTTTTAGTTTTTTTTTATAAAAAATAAGTTCTAAAAGTTGAAAAAAAGATTGGTTCCTTGGTTAATTATGGTTCTCTATTGAACCTCACCCTATATATATATATATATATATATATATATATATATATATATATATATATATATATATATATATAATTTACTAATACTACAATAAGTTGATAATTCTTATAAAAATAATCAAAAAGAAAAAAAAACCATAATACATAGTTACATGAAATTATCAGATATTGTCTGATGGATTTATTCGAAATAATGATTAGTTAACAATTAATGGATTAAATTTGTAATGGATGAGCCTTAGTAGACATAGGTGTCTAACTTATAGATTTTGACTTATTACCGTATAACACCGGTATAAGCTATTTATATTCAAACATTTTGTTAGCTGATACCGGTGTGGAACCGATAATAAGCTAAAAATGAATTTAAATAAGCTTAGCCAAACACCCCCTAAATATTTATGAAGTAACACATGCAGCTGGCGCATAGTCATAAAATTCATCGTCATCGTCATTGTTACCGTCTCCATCTTATGCTGATGGAGCATAGTCATAATCTTCATCGTCTTTGTCTAAATAGCTTTTGGATTTTGAAATTTTTGTGAAAATTAAAAGATTTAAACTCGTACTTCCTTTAATTCAAATTTTTTTTTTAATCTAAAAGTTATAACCTCAACCCTTTTTTTTTAATTCATCTTTTTTTAAACAAACAAACTAAAAGCTAAAACATAATTTTTCAATTCAAGTTTTTTTTTAAAGCTAAAAGTTAAACCTCTCAAAAGCTAGTGGCATAGTTTTACACCTCATAACTAGGCTGTAAACGAATCGAACGGCGAACCGTTCATGAACTGTTCGGCGGGAAGTTCGTTTATGTTCGTTTATTTAATAAATGAACGAACATGAACAAAAATTCTCGTCCGTTTAGTTAAACGAACGAACATGAACAATTGTCTCGTTTGTTCATTTACGTTCGTGAACGTTCGTTTATGTTCGTTCGTTTAAGTTTTTTTATGTTCATATATTTTCAATTGTTTTTTTATTACATTACTATATTATAGTTCGTTTATGTTCAATTGTGTTTGTTTATCTTTGTTCGTTTATGTTCGTTTAGTATGTTCACGGACATAAACGAACAAAGATAAACAAACACAATTGAACATATATGAACATAAACGAACTATAATATAGTAATGTAATAAAAAAACAATTGAAAATACATAAACGAACAAAGATAAACAAACACAATTGAACATATATGAACATAAACGAACTATAATATAATAATGTAATAAAAAAACAATTGAAAATAAATGAACGAACGTGAACAAGACAATTTGTTAAACGAACGAACATGGACAAGAAAACTCCGTTCGTGTTCATTCGATTGTTCGGCTAACTTAAACGAACGAACACGAACAAGCCTTTGTTCGTGTTCGTTCGGTTCGTTTACAGCCCTACTCATAACCATCTAGAAGCCACAAATCAAATTTTTTTCACTAACCCACCACATCAACTAATCTATGAGAAGTTTGTCCCCATCATTTGAATAATTATATAAAAACAAAACATGTCAATAACAACACATTCAAAATTAAACATGTTCGAGAGCAAACACTACCACTTAGGCAAAAAAAATAAATGATACATTGTATTGCATTGCAGAAAAGCATCAAATTTCAAAGCATAAAAGATAAGGAAATCCGAGAAGACAAATGGCTAAAGGGTTTTGGAGGAGATAATTAGGTAGTACTATTATGCTTGATTCGGTTGAAACTCAGTAAAATTCCAAATTTCACTTTTCACCACAGTAAAAGTGTAAAAAAAAAACAAGAAAAAGAAGGTAACAATTTTTTACTTCCAGAGCTTTCGAAGGGACATGTTTTTTTCAGTTTCCTTCTTCATAACTTTAGCCACTGCCATCTCAAAATCTTCTTGTGTCACATGCACTCTCCTTTCTCTCAATGCAAACATCCCTGCCTCTGTGCAAACCGCCTGTAAGGGTAAAATGGTCATTATAACTCTTATTCATTACAAAAAAAAAAAAAAATATATTTCTAAATTTATAATATTTGTCAATTACAACTTTACCTTAAGTTCTGCACCCGAAGCACCATTCATCTTCTCAGCAATCTTTTTCAGATCAATCCCACGCATTAAATTCATCTTTCTTGAATGAATTTTCAAGATATCACCTCTCGACTGTTAAAAAAAAATTATAATTTAAATAAGTATTGTAAACAAATTGATTAAAATTAAATAAATACTTACATCTTCATTTGGATTTGGGAACTCAATCTTTCTATCAATTCTTCCAGGCCTAAGAAGAGCCTGATCAAGGATATCAATCCGGTTTGTAGCCATCAAAACCTGTAAATAAATATCAGAAACAGATTCATTCATAAGGGCAATATCGTCTTTTTTTAATGAATTGTAAAAAATCAAAAATTACCTTGATCTTGTTTGATGCTTCGAATCCATCCAACTGATTGAGAAGCTCAAGCATTGTTCTTTGGACTTCACTATCACCATTTCCACTTCCAGATTCCATTCGAGCAGATCCAATGCTGTCAATTTCATCCATGAATATAATCGATGGAGCATGTTCCCTGTGCATATAGAAAAGGTTGGAGTGAAAAACTTGGAGGACTGAAAATGTAAAGAGGTGAAACTTGAAGGTGCAAACCTGGCCATAACGAAAAGCTCTCTAACCATTCTGGAACCTTCTCCGATGTATTTCTGTACTAATTCAGAACCAGAAACCCTAATGAAAGTACAGTCAGTATGATGAGCAACAGCTCTTGCCAATAATGTTTTTCCAGTGCCAGGTGGACCGTATAACAGAACTCCCTGAAAAAAAGGGGACAGGTGTCAGTTTAGGAGATAAATGCAAGAAATAACACTAATTTAAAGATATTATAATTAGTTTTGAATTACCTTTGGTTGAGCAATACCCAAGCTTTCAAATAACTCTGGATGTTTGATTGGAAGTTCAATAACCTGAAGATTGTTTTAAATTATAATGAATAGATAAACAACACTATGGATTTAAATAATGATATATAAAAGTATCAAAATATAAGATTTTCAAGATTAAATGGTTAAAAGGAAATATGGGGAACCTCTTTAATCTCTTTAATTTGTTGGTCAAGACCACCAATCATGTCATATGTAGAATCAGGAACTTTCTCAACTTTCATAAGGTTGACTAGAGGATCTACTTTGCTTGGTAAAACCAAATGAAGGACATAACTGTCATTTCGAAGGGCAACCCTGGTTGAAGGTGTGATCTTAGTAATGTCAATGCTTTTATCAATATCAACCACATATTTGCCCTCTGGGTGCACCTGAAAATAGCATGAGTAAAAATCAAATTTAGAACACAGTTATTATAAATATATAATTAATAGTCTGAAAGTAACATTTGCATAAAAATAAATAGCTGCACTAACCTTCACTAGAACTTTTGATTTTCCCATTACTTTGACAACTTCACCAACATAAGATCCAGGCTCTTGAAGCAGCTGTAACTCTTCTTTAAGCATCCTTACTGTATTTTTTAACATTGAAGGATAACATTGAAGACCAGTCATATATTAAAAAGAGTAGAATATCATGCAAAGACATATCAAGCATCAGAATAAGAACGCAAACTTTAGCCCAATTGACCAAAACTCATCACTGTAAGGACTTCAACCAAATCTTTTTTTTGTTTTGAGCACTACAAGAATGGAAGATCAGAAAGCAAAAGAAACCAGAGGCACACAAATTATGGTGTAATGTAAAAGACCAAGAACAAAGATAGGAATGCAGGAGATGTATACAGGTTGGTTGTGAATTTGTGATAGGAAAAGAAGAAAAAAAAAGTGGATCCAAGCTATGAAGAATGAGAGGCTATTTTGTCATATATGATGAAGCTAGGAAACGACATGTTTACTTTGACAAGTTTCCGATGTAAACAGAAAAGGGATAATAAAGGAACTTGATTGCTTTTTTGATGATATTAAAAGATGATTCGAGAAGGTGAGTTTTGAAAGTGAAGGAAGTACTGAAGAAATGTATGCCTAGAGTAAATAAAGATATAAGAAACATAAAAACATTTGATTGTGGTGTTTATATTTCTCACTAAGAGCTTGATTACGAGGAACAGTAAGGGAATTGCTATCATGTAGCCTAAGGGATACATTCAACTACTCACAATCAAATCCGACATGATCAAAACTTACAGCATAATAACATTAATTCACTAAAAACATAAATCCTCCTTAGTCCCCGCACAACCCACATACCTACCCACAGAAGTAACATCAAACAAAATTTGAAAGTACACAAATCTAGGGTTTCGAGCAACTTCAATTTAGGGATTTTAGAAATTCACCTCGAGAATTTAGCTCGTTACGCTGAGCCTCAAGGCGATTGAGATTATGACTCTTCTGGCGAACCTGGAGCTGAGCATCATGGATATGCTGCAAGTAATACTGCCTCAGACCTTCTCCTGGTTTCACCGCGTGCCTCGACGAACAACCCTCGTCTTTCTCCCCTGCATCCACGGGTTTCATCGCGATATCCGCTGTCGCCATTCGTGTCTATCCGATGGAGAATTCGTGAGCTTGCAGATTTTTGTTTCAATGGCGATTTGATTTCAGTAGTCGGTGTACAGAAGAGTGTTGATCACGAAAAGGGTTTGCTGCCTCTTTTCTATAGGCTTCTCGTTTCATTTTAATTAATGAAACATGGCATTTTGGGTCCTCAAACGTTTGTAATTTACCATTTACATCTTTTTTTTTTTTTTACTTTTCTTTTTCTTTTGTTCTATTATTTTACATAATTGTGGTAAAAATAACTAACACAAAAAAGTTAACAAAAACTCATGCATAAATCATAATACGACCATCATGGGATTTTTTAGGAGTAAATTGTTATGGTACCAGTTATTTTTTTCTAAATCATATACACGACAGATTATAGTTGGTATAAAAATTTTGTTATCACTATTGTATCAAGTATATAGTTAGTACCAACTTATTTGGCTACCAATAGGTTCGATTGATACATGTTGGTAAAGGTATATACCAACATGTATTAAGGGCATCTCCAACCCACTCCCAAACTCCATTTCTTCCCTCATTCTTCTCCAGCCCTATCCCATTTTCAGCTCCATTTTTTGAGATATGAATAATATTCCCCCATATATTGGGGAATACTATTCATATCTCCAAAAATGGTGGTGAAGTTTGGTTGCCAATTTTAGTCTCTCTCATTTTTATTTTATACATTTCTAGTTTATTTTATCTACTAATTATAATTTAAATACAATATTTAATATTTATAATATCATGTTATATACTAATTTATATTAATTAATCATAAATATAGAGTTTAATTAGTAGGGGGTGTATTTGACAATATATATAAGTTATAAAAATAGAATATTATAGGAATATACTTTTGGGGTAAAAAATGGGATAGAAAATGGAGTATGGTTGGAGATGAATCACTATTTACTCCAATTTTTACTCCATTTGGGGGGGGGGGGGGGAATGGAGATGGGTTGGAGATGGTCTAAGGGAATTTTTTGAATAAGGATTTTTCGTGTTCTTGAGCATTGCGAAACGTGAATGCGGTTTTTGTGAATAAGAGTTTTGTAATTGTTGTAATTGAAAATTCGATCCAAAAGTATTTTATTATGTGCTACCATGAGTTTAAAAGTTAAAAAAGTGTAGGAAATGGGACACACCAACATGAGTTAAAATTTTTAATTTTACTAATACGGTAAATGATAATATCAAAACTCTTAAAATCTCAAACACCAAACATACTAATATATATATATATATATATATATATATATATATATATATATATATATATATATATATATATATATATATTGAATTAGTTGGTATGGTACTAGTGTAGTATTGAAAACTTTATATCACTATTGTACCATAATCATTCAATTGGTATGTTACTACCAACCAACACATGTTGACTACCAAACATATTGGTTTACCAACATTTTTTGTTCGGATGGTAACATGTTGGTTGGTTTTCCATGGTATATATTTTTCAACCTTAGGATTTTTAACGACGTCGGAGTCGCATCTCGTCATGAAACCACTTCCAGAATTTGGAAGTAAAGCGAACATCCCGGTCTGAAACTATTGATACCGGCACCTCATGACGTGCCACCACCTCCTGAACATAAATCTCGGCTAGCTTCTCTGCAGAAATACTCTCCTGGATCAGAATAAAATGCGCGCTCTTGGTCAATCGATCCACGATGACCCAATTAGAATCTACTATGTGCGTTATCATGGGGAGCTTCTTGATAAAATCCATCGTGATGTCTTCCCATTGCCATACGGGAATCTCCAACGGTTGCATCTTGTTGTGAGGTCGTTGATGCTCGGCCTTGACTTTCCTGCAAGTCAAGCACCGCTCCACAAACCATAATATATCCCGCTTCATGCAGGGCCACCAATAATCAGGGCGAAGATCCCTATACATCTTCTTCGCCCCAGGATGAAAGGAGAATCTCAAATTGTGAGCCTCCTCCATCAGAACTTGGCACACCCCACCCCAATATGGAACCCAGACCCTCTGATGCAAGGTCAATTATCCGCGACTATCATAATCAAAGGAAGCCACCTAACCCACAATTCACTCACACTTCCGGCGCTCTTCATTCATAGCCTCAACCTGAGCCTCCCGAATCTGTTCCAGCAACGGAGTAATCACTGTCATCCTCAAGCATATATCTCGAATCGGAGCCGTGACTGTCTTGCGACTGAGAGCATCGGCCACCATATTGGCCTTCCTTGGGTGGTACAGGATCTCACAATCATAATCTTTCACCACATCCAACCAACGACGTTGTCTCATATTCAGATTTGGCTGATCCATCAAATACCAAAGCCTAGGAACCACCGAAAGGGGTTCAAACCCAAACCCTAGACTTAAAAGAGTGAGGGCTTAACCATTAAGCACTTAATCTCTAAAGAAAAAACCCCAAATTGCAAATCTAACACCGTAGAGCTGGAAAACCACGTAAACCACATAATCTCTGATACCAATTTGTCACACCCCCGAACCAGGACGGCGAAAACGTTCGGGGGCGGATGACTTCATGTACAGTATCATAACACATGAATATGAATGAAACATAGCAACCAAACATCATACATTATAGTATACCAACATCCATAGTCTTACAAATTGTACTTGTTTATCAATTAGACAAAAATAACATAAAGTATGGTTGCTCAAAAGGTAGTAAAATAATCCTGATCCAAGGCTCGAGTACTTGTTCACTGAGTCCCTAAGAATACAAGTCGTTTTGAAAAGCGTCAACATAGAATGTTTGTGAGTTCATAAGCATGCTTGTAGGAAAAACTTTGTAATATCATCTCTTATAATAAATTGTAAAATTCCAGAAAATCCAATATTTTCTAAAAAAAGCAGTTTGTGAGTTTCGTTCCAAAATCATGTATAATTGCATGCATGTCCTTTATTATCCTTTGTTGGTGTTTGAAAAGAGTGTATCCCCAGAAAATCTTATATTTTCTGTATATAAAGGTGATGTGGTCTTAAAACCCTAAGACCCGAGTGGTGAAATCAGTTTACAAAGTATACGAAACATAGTTTGGTATTTTGTAAAAACTAGTAGAGTGTAAATCCTTTGTAAATCCAAATAACGTTGTTACTCTCTATGTGTCTTTTCCTTGTAGAGTAAAAAATGAATGTATTCAGAAAATACAATATTTTCTTAATAGCGAACTGTAGTCTTAAACCCTAAGACCATGGTGAAAATGAATAGTGTGCAGACATTAGTATATAGTTTTATTTCTTTTAATAAAACTAACGAAGTAAAGCTTCCCGTAAACCAAATGTGACATCCCCTAATTTCTCGGCCAGAAAAGACCGATTTCGTTTATTGCTTTTTAAAATAAAATCAGAGAAATCTTTTTAAAAGATGTTGCGGAATTGGTCCCCAAAACAAAACATGATAAAAGTTTATCAAAACCTTTCTTTAAGAAATATATATTTTTATTTCATAACAAAACCTCGGGATGCCATGTTCCGATACAGATCAAAAGCATACACAAGACATTTATAAGCCTTACACAGTTATTTACAACTACTGGCCTATAATCCAAAAATCACTCATTGTCATCATCCGACTATGCTCGGGGTCCACTACCTGTAATATAAAAAGCTGAGTGGGTCAGGCTTGGAAGCCTGGTGAGCATATAGGGTTTTCAACCCACAATAATTAAATTTATTGTACTTAAACATCAATCAATCAACCAAATTACCCCAACCCCATTATCTTATTAACTTCTTAAGGGTTTACCCTAAGATTCAACTATCACTCCTTCCTAAGGATTCATCCTAAGGAATAGGCACAAAGTCACCTCGTCACCGGGGTTTATACAACGGGCACTAAGTCCATAGCTGCCAAGGTTTATTCAACATATGCTAAGTTCATAGCTCTCATTTATCGGCAGTATTATTTACAGGTATTCCCCCTGCAATACATGTCAATGCGTTTTTAGAGTACTTCAAATGAACATATAGTTCATTACACCTACAGGTTGCGGGCCTGCTAGTGTTCCACATGCTGTCTAGAATAGTCCATGGTTGTCATCCATACTCTGCTGAATGACGGGGGTCAACATTTTGGGTAAGTGATTCTCTCAAATTTCACCACTCACCCTCAACTCATGATCAATATTACTGATCATCTCCTTTATCCAACTCACCTTTCATCACACCCACTATTTCTTCTACCCATGTTTTACCCAACATTTTTGTAGATAAAAATACATATACAGTTTAAATTATTTAAAAACATGTATAAATCACACCTTCAACATCCAACTCAAAGAAACAAACAATAAATATTCACACAGCACGTATTTTATGTAAAATACTTCATATCTATGTGTAAGGTGAAAGTAACTACACACTCACCTGATTTAATGAAAATCGGGCAGCAATTCGTTTCCTAAAACGATCGTTTCTAATAAACCGGGAGTTTTATTGAGAAACCGGGCTCTGCGAAGGGTCGGGCTTCAAAACCGAAAAGATAAATTTTCCGGGCTTCTCGGGCACTTCGTGGCGTATTCCGGGTGTTAGAATCGATACCGGGGCTTCGGGGAATGTTAAGATGAAGAAAATATGGAAAAAGGGGTTAAAAGTGGCAAAATCCCAAAAGTACCCGGGAGGGTTCGCATACCCTTCTATTTATAGGGTCCGAAGCTGCTGATCGGACGGATGAGAAGAGTCCACGCGGCAGCAGATCCGAAGAGTAGTCACGTGGGCTGCGCATGCGAGGGATCAGGCAGTCCCTGATTGGACCGAAGTCCGGGTCCGAAGGTCGGCTAAGGAGGTGGGGTCCGCAGGCGAGGGTACGCAGGTGGCTGCACGTGCGAAGGCCTCGGTGGCAGCTGCTGATTGGACCGAGGTCTAGTGGTCCATCTGCGAGGCTCGGAGGCTAAGGCGGTGCGAGGCTCGGTCCAGCTGCGAGCTTCGGATTGGGCCTCCCTTCGGTCGAATCAGAATCCAACACACAACTACTGTTTATGCGAGGGAAGGCGACACGTGGCTTCGCATGACTCACCAATTTCGGACACGTGGCACTCTTTCAGCGAAGGTGACGTGGCAAAAACGTGACTATGCGA